GGCATTGTGGAGCATCACAGGCGGTAAGTATGCATGTGTGCACTGCACATGTATGCGCACCTGCTGCACATGTTCATGTGGTGGACTCCCAGTCCCACTGCACCGTACCAGTTGCAATGGGATCTGGAATCCACCACTGATGGGGATGCTCTGAATGGTGTGAATGCAAGGGCCCATTGTAAGTCACTTCCCCCCACCAGTGCTGTTACACCGTTAAGCAATTGCTAAACAAATGGTTGTAAGTGAAGGACTATCTGTACATAGAAACATGTCAATAAAGGAGAATATTCATAGCTCAGGGTTGACGTTGTGCTCCTTGGTGCTTTTTGACCTTGATTGTTTTCTTGCAAAGATTTCATTATAAGTATAATCTTTATTGTCATTGTACTTAAATACAACTAAATTGGTTACTGAAGCTATGTATGTAACATCACCAGTGCTAGTATGGGAGTGGGCTTTACTCTCTATTCATATTCTATTAGCTTGTTCTGTCAGTGTTGGTGGGAGTGCTTTTTTGATTGGGTTGTTTATTGTTGGCTTACTTAGCAGTTCTTTGATTGGGGTAATTGTTCACTTCCTGATTAAACATCTCTAATATAAGCACTGCTGAAATGAATTCCAAGGCTGGACATAGCAATGGTTTGTTTCAACACAATTTGTTTAGTAAACAACTATGGAGTAGGTTCACATGTGATGCCAAATTCAAAACCACAACATAAAAGCAAATTTAATCAACATCTCTTAAGACTTCAACCAAGTAGAAAAGTCATCAATAAATGCATTAACAGTGAATTCCTATGAATTTAGTAATTATAAATAATGCAATTACATTTTAGAAGTAAATGTACATGATGGCTGCTAAAGCAACAATTGTAAATTTACTAGCAAGCACATGTTATTAAACATAAGAACATAAGAGTCACCTTCTAGTGAGATGGGCATCAAATAAATGTAATAAATAAATAAAAATAATTTAAACATGAGCCGTGGTGGCACAGTGGTTAGAATGCAGACTGCAGGCTATTTCTGCTGACTGCCTGCAATTTGGCAGTTCAAATCTCATCAGGCTCCAGGTTGACTCAGTTTTCCATCCTTCTGAGGTGAGTAAAATGAGGACCCAAATTGTTGGGGGCAATATGCTGACTCTGTAAACTGCTTAGAGAGCGCTGCAAAGCACTGTAAAACGGTATATAAGTCTAAGTGCTATTGCTATTGCTTTCAAGAACAAACTTTCCAAGTTACTATGTTTTTATTTTTAGAGTAACAGATTCATTGGCAGTATTTCTTAATCATTAACTTTTATTTGTTATTTGCCTTTAATGATAAACAATAATTTTAAAAGAAGAAAAAATAAATAAACCGAGCAGTCAATTGTTTCTAATACACATTCTAATCATAATATTTAGTTGTAGCAGCTGTTCACACAATCCCAAATTGTGATTACTAAACTGCCACTCTTTGGATTTAATGATTTCACTGTTTGATGATGTGTACATACAGGAAGATTTTAAAGATAAGTTAATTGTTTTTGTAGGAAGAAAATGATACAGTAAGATTCCTTTGTTGAACTGAATTACAGGCTTTCCAAAGGTGTTTAAGTAAAAACATTGACATAAAAACTACTGATGAATAGATAATTTACAGAAAGGCATTTCCTGAGGTTGCTAAACAATTTAATATTAATATAAAAAAAGAATGGTCCTGAAAATTCATCTTGAAAATAATGATGGAATTAATAATTGAAGGACATAACTGAAGTTAATATTTAAATTACTAAGATGGTGAACTTTGTTGAACACAAGTCCTTGAAATTAATTAAGGATAGATGAAAGGGAATTTAGAATTTTTACCAAAGCCTAATTTTTTTCCAAACAGTTTCGTATTTGAAAGTAATAAAACAATAAAATGGATTACAAAACATACTGTTTGTATTAAATGAAACCGTGCCATTCCAATTAACCCTTTCTCCTAAAAGTATTCCTTTCAGTTATTTCTGTCTACTCTTTCGTATTTCAACCCCAAACTAGGTACGATGAATTTAATAAAGTTAAGCAAAAGTAGATTAACCTCTCTTTTAAATTAATTGAATCGGGCTGCATCTCATGAACTTTGTTAAATCACTCTTGGCGTTTGTACTTCCCAGAATAAGATGCCAGCATTTAAAAACTGCTTAATCCATCCACCCCTTTGGGCATGGTTGACCACACCGTAGGATTTACAAGCTGGCAATTTTAAAGCTCTATCGAGTATGAACTAGAACTAATTCAATATCCAGAATTTGTAAAAGATGTTTCATTCAGAGTATTTCCAAAATAGGAAGAAGAATTGTATGCAGTTCTTGGCCATTTTTTTATTTTGCTTTGTAGAAATCTATATTTTATTATAGGTCTAAATTATAATTGATGTAGCAGAAATCATTTAAAAGAGGAAAAAAATAATTCTCAGAGTTTTGAATAAGAAAAATTAAAACACAAGTGTTAGCTCAAAGGTGCTTTTTTGTTCAAAAATCTACAAGACTATTTTTTTCTTTGAGGAGGAAGAAGATTTCTCTTTTTTTTTCCTTTCCCTTCTTCCTCAAAGAAAAAAATAGCTGAGTTACCTTTTGAAGAAGAAAGCAACTTTGAGACAACTGTGACCTGGATGACTGAGAATCTCCACAGACAACACGAATGATAATTATACAAATCAGAAATATTTGATATGATTTGTTAAACACACTTATTTTGACTCCAAGATGAAAAGCATTGCTAGGATTGTCCATCACAGTTGTGGGTGTGTGATTTGCTGAATTCCCGTAACAGTTTCCATCCACAATAGACTGCAGCATTCTTGAGAAACAACAGCTCATATATCTTACAAAATGCACACATTATATATCTGGAAACATAGTTTCATAACTCCATTAAGGAAAAACTTCAAATAATCACCAAGTAAACCTTCTGCACTTACAGCTACCAAATGACACAACCACAGTCTATTGAGTTTATAATGAAATTTGTTCCCCAAAGTGAGTTGGCTGTAATTAAAACTGACTTTCATATCAAAATTTTAGATTTTAAAAAATCTAGTAAACATTACAAAGAAAAGGTGCCTTTTTTAAACAAAGAAATTCTGGGCATTAACATAGACTCCTATATATAAATTATTTCTTTGAGATCTATGAATCCACTCAAGGATTCCACCCGATCAGAAATCCTAACTAGAAAAGTGGCTACTAAATCAACAGATCTGTGAGCCGAGAAGCTATTTCCACCTCTGTTACATTAACATGGCTAATTGCTATTTTTCACTGTTGTTAATATTCTTATTATTGTTCTGCTGTCTCTTACCTCCACACATTTTGGCAATAATCAGGCAGTTGAAGACTGGCCTAAAACACCATTTTTTAAGAATTTTGCTCCTTTTTCTTAAATCCAATGCTATGTGTTTCTAGAAGAATCCCTTTCTACATTCAGCTTTTTTCTTAAACTGCTTAGCATTTAAATTAACAAACATTTATTTGTTAGTGGACTCTAACCTAAGCTGTATCCAAACAGTATGATTGCCCTCCAAATGTCTAAGTCAGGGATCTCCAAACTTGGCAACTTTAAAACTTGTGGACTTCAATTCCCAGAATTCCCCACCCAGCATGAATGGCTGAGGAATTCTGACGTTCACAAGTCTTAAAGTTGCCAAGTTTGAAGTCCGCTGGTGTAAATTATGGAAGGCAAGTGAGCTGTTTGAAGGAGATCGAGTAGGACACCCCAACCTTATCATATTCAGCATTTAAAACAAAAATCAACATTCCTTCTAAGCTGGGAATGACATCCATTGAAAGCAGGATTTGAACTGTTTCCAGATAAATTTTGCTTGTGCAATTGCTTACTTTCATTTCTGAAATGCATACATTAAGACCTTTCACTGGCATCTTACTCAGTTTTAATGTCTTTTTTTTTACAACCCAACGTAGATAAAAGAAGAATTTAAGATGTCTCCCCTTAGCTAGTATTGTTTGAATTGGGCTGTCCATGACTTTTTATACAATTTTCTCCAGCAACAGGTGCTAAAATAGTTTTGATAAACCCTCATAAATAGGTTTCATACATTTGATAGAAAAATAAACTTTTTGAAAATCACAGAAAAGACAATTCCTTACAAATGAGAGTAAGACAAGTTCAATGCAATCCAAAGCTCTGTCTTGACAGTAAATCTTTGGAAGGTTGGTTCTGTGTATGTTTACTCAAAGATTTACTCAAATGTAACCTGGACTTTGTGAAAGGTTAACGCCAAATAGATGTGGGATAGTTTGGGTGACTTGCAGAAGATTAGAAGTCAAAAACTCTTGCTATTTACTTAACCATCAAAACAGCTGATTAGTTGAGCATTGCCTATAAACCAAGTTGCTGAAAATAATAATACATATTTGAGAAGAAGCAAGGGGAGGAATTTGGGGTGAAAGGAATTGTGAGCTTGGCTCTGGTCCAGGGATCACAAATTCCTAGCCTGATTACGTTCTCAGAGGCATTCTGTTATTAATTAAGACCATATATATCCTTACAGGTTCTGAATGGTTGGGCTCAATATCCTAGTTTTAAAAAGTAAATTCCACAAGTATGAACATTTCATGGAATGATGCCCAGTGAACCTCATTTGTTTGATCATCTTCTGTTTTCATTGTGACTTAAACAGGATGTGATACCTGAATTTCTGATCAAAAACGAGAATCATCCTCTGCCTTATCTAGATCCCTATGACCAGTGCCAAAATCCCATCTTCTTTTAGATAGTACCAATAATCACCTAGCTGCTTAACTCTGTGTATGTGCATTCTCAACAGTAGAGGGAAAAGAACAGGGGAGTACAAAAATAACATCACACTTACCTCATAAATTACCCTATCCCTATATCTCATTCAACTCAGACATTCCTCATTCACATCAGATGAAGAACTCATCTAGAATCTCAGATATTCAACCCACAACCTCACATTCTCATTGGCCGGTATATTTATATTTTACTTACCAATTGGCATGATTAAAAAGAAAGGAAGCCAACACAGGATGAAACATCCCACAACTATTCCCAAGCTTTTGGCTGCTTTCTTCTCCCGAGAGAACTTTAGAAGCCTTACGGAAAAATTGGACTTGTGCTTGGTGGTAGGGGTAGCTCCTGCAGCTTCAGTGTTGTTCTTGCGGTGGATGCGGAGAGTCACTTCTTCTGAATGGGACTTCTCAGTCTTCAGGCCACACGACAATCCTTTGCTTTCTCTTCTGGCTACCACATATACCCGGCAATACATCACCAGTATGATGACCAGGGGGAGGTAGAAGGACCCAAGAGCAGAAAATAAGACATAACTTGGGTCAGTGTTGATCTGGCAGTTTTTTTCATCTTCTGGAGCTGGTTGTCTCCAGCCAAAGAGAGGACCTATGGATATCATAATTGACAATGCCCACACGCACAGCAGAGCCAGGATACCTCTTTTTTCAGTCACTATGGCTGGGTATCTCAGTGGGTAGCTCACTCCAATATATCGGTCTATAGAGATGACACAAAGGCTCATGATGGAAGCTGTGCAGCACAGAACATCAACAGCTGCCCAGAGGTTGCAGAAGATCCTCCCAAAAGCCCAGTAGCCCAGAATGTCTAAAATAGCAGAAAAGGGGAGAACAGTAGAAGTCAAGAGGAGATCAGCCACAGCCAAGTTGATAATGTAGTAATGGGTTACGCTTTGCAGATGTTTGTGACAGGCCACTGAAAGGATAACCACGATGTTGCCCAGGACCCCAAAAACAATCAGACCTCCAAAGATGACTCCTAATAATATGGCCTTGGAAATATTTAATTGCTCCACAGTCTGAGTGCAATTGAAGCAGTCAAGGGCAGAGATGTTCTCAGAGGTCAGTCCCATTATCATAACTGGTTAATGTACATCCAGTGTGTTTGTGATTCTCGCTGCCCTTTCTTTGAAAGAGCCAAGAGCAAATATTTGGTAGTGTTGGGTGAAGCTTTATTTCCACATTGTAGATAGAAACTAATTGGAAATACCAGTCTGGCTTTATAAATGCAGAGGAGAGAGCCAAACCCTTGACTAATGAACATATTTGAAAATCCACATTTCTTCTTTTGCATTTGCTCTGAAGAAAAACACAGGCGTTTCTTGTCCCAAAAATAATTCCAAAGCAATTAGAATGGTTCTCTTTAGAACAGTCTCTTTGGTGTTTATCATACCTTGCTGGGTGTTTGATGATGAAACCATATTAAAGACTGACTAAAGACCTCTTTCTTTTAAAATAATACCCATTGAGCCACCAGATGCTTTTTGTTACTAAGCAAGGAAAGTTGCTGTGGTAGAAAGGACTTCAACTTCCAGACTCTTTAAAAGTTCTTCATGGAAAGATGCAACACAAATAATAGCAGAGTATTATTTGTTCTTTTTTATGTCTTCTTCTGACTTTGAAAAATCCTCCCAGGTGAAAGAAGATTGCTGTCTGTCACTCTGGCTGACACTTCTCAATATCTAGTCTTTTCATCCATGACTAACTTTGTGATTCCAAGAAGCTGTAATAATGGTAAAACGGTGACACCTTCACCCAGCATATAATCCTTTTAACAAACAATGGTTATGGACCTGCTAGGAACTCGGAGGAGATGGAGATCTGTGCTCTTCTGTTTGACAGATGAGTTGTTTCCTAAAGAAGTCAAAAGGAGAAAACATATTTCAAACACCAGACTTCTGGTTGAGCAAATATCCTGATGGCAACATTTTCCCAAAATTAGGAATCAAACTTTATTGAGTTAATATCATCGCATACAGACTGCTGTTGACACTGCTTGCTCATCAATTGATGCTTCTCAGCCTGATTGCTTTTTATGGTTTTTCATCAAATCACACCTCTGAATCCTGGGCAACAAAAATGTTGATCTCTGACAAATTGACCATTGATTACACTGCAGCCTCCCCCGGGGGGGGGCAGAGGGGGGAAAGGCAACATTAGGTCCTTTAGAACAAGCAGATCTATGTGTGATTTCTTTCAGTTAACTCTTTTGCAAGCAAAACATTCTGCAACTTTATATTAAGAAGAAATCATGGACATCTCCATGTTAGTTTGCAACATAAGAGAACCAATATTAAAGTGGTTTCTCTTCCTACTCTACATTAAAAATGAGCCTTATGCTAACTTGAAAGGAGAACCCCTTGTGATCTGAGATGCATGGCTGAAATTGCGAACCCTATGTATGGAATTCTCCTTGCAGCCTAGTTTTTATTTGGTCTAATCAAAACAGATTGATTGGTATCAGGGATTGGTATCATCTGTTTGAAATATCTGAATTTAGCCCTGGGCTCGGTAATAAATATCTTTGGCATAGATGATGTCTATTGTAATACACATGCAGGAGATCCCAGGGCCAGATTTGGGGATCTCTAATTAAAAGGAACAAATTACAATGACTATAAAGACCAATTGCTTCTCTAAAACTTTTGAAAGTGAAGAAGAAACACTATTGGATTGTATGTCTGATTTGACAAATAAGTGTCAAAATAATAATCTCATGTTTCAAGATTAAAATGCTGGGCATTCATGGACTGGACTGGACTAGAATAGAATAGAATAGAATAGCATTTTTGAGCAAATGCATGTTTTCAAGCAAACAACAGCATGTTGTTCCTGGTGTCCCAATTAGGCTTGTGCATTAGATCACAATAGGTATCCTTGGTGAAAAGAGTACAGGCATTTCTCTCTACAGCGGCCAGATCAATATCTCCAGAGACTCAGTTCTGGGTGCTCCAAATAAGCAAGCAAGTTAGTTTCATAATTTACTCATTTAGTTTCCATAGATTTTAAAATTCCCCTCCCTTCCCACCATGCTAAGCTCAAGCACTCATCCCATTGTGTAACCATGGAATATCTGTTTTCTCCACAGACTCTAAGAGTTTTTCTCAGTCCCCGTTTCTTTATCTTGGGTTTGGCTAATCTTCTTTTGGGATTCCAGATTTTGTTGGATTCGAAATTCCATTAAAGCTAATCAGAATGGTTAGAGGTGTTGGGAATTATAGATTAACAGCTCCTGGAAATAACTAGGTTCTTCCTTTACCTTTTATTTTAGAGGTGGGCAACCATGTTTTGGCTGATGGGCGGAAATAACATTCTTATTATTAGATTAAATTTGTTACATTATAGATTATTATATTATTATTATTATTTGACTGTTGAGTGCTTCTGGAGTCTGAAGACACCAGGACTGACATTTGGAAACTCTGGTTTATGGGTTGTGATTTTGAGTGGTTAATTCTTAATAGGTGTATTAAGCCTATTATGGATTTCTTTTTATTTCCCAGAAAAAAAAGAACACAGTTGGAAATCATACCAAGTTAATTGGTTGGTTTGCTGCCAAATTTCAGTGCAGTAATTTGGGGAAATTCCAGAGGCTAGAAAAAGTTTAGGGTCCACTGGTAGCCCATCAATGAGAAGTTGTCAACCCAAATTTATTAGGCAGAGAACAAAAATGATTGGCAACGCAAAGCAGACGAATTAAGCTGGTTCTAGCAAAACCAAGCAAAAGGTGTGGGACTATTCTAGACTCCTGGATGATTAGCATGGCATTGGCATCCAGAACAACAGCAAAGTGCCCTTCCAGCTACATTTTGACAGTCCAAGAACAGTACCTAGGACACAAAACCTGTTTTGTGTTCCTGAGCTACGATTTCGCCAAAGGCTGTTCCCAATTAAGAACAGCAAAGACAATGACATCATACAACTCTTATAGGAACTCTTTTCTATAAGATTAATAATAACAGGGCGAGGGAAATTGAAATCGTGCAGGAGTTTGACCATATCTCCCATAAGTAGAGTACAAATACACAGGCACACACAAGTCACAGCGGTGCTGCTTTAGACATGATATTTTAAACTTAGATTTTGTTTCTTTAGGGCTCGGGGGATCCTACAGCATGGGTCAAATTAACAGCAAAGCTCAGAACATTGTGTTATTGCCAGTTGTTTCTGACTTGAAGGGTCATTGCACTTATCTCTTTGGATACAAATGGGTTTTGCATACAAATAGTATAGAGTACAGATCTGTCTGGTGCCTTGCATTTTCTGGCCTTTTGGACCCACTGTTTACAGCTGTTATCCATGTTTATGGGTAGAGGCTTGGTCAATTAAGGACAACAATCTATCCATCTGATAAGCTAAACTCCATGCAGTAAAAAAAATACCCTCCTTGTCTTTAATAGGACACTCACTTCCTACAAATAGAAACTTCGCTGGATATCCCCAAGATAATAAATGAGAATTGAACTAATAATAGATAATTTGATTTTAAATGTGTAATTTTCTTAAACAAAAAACTTCAGTCATTTTTCTTTCTTTTTAAAGAAAAGGTATTCCTTCTTTAAAAAGCTGACGATGCTTATATTGCAATGGAGAAAATAGGTGAAAATTCAGGCATACCTTTAGTGGGAGAATATTTCAAAGCCAATTGGTAATTTCAACAATAAATTGTGGCCCCAACATCACAAAAAACAGGGCTTGGGCGAATGCGACCCAGTATAAAATTTTAGGAATCAATGAATATTAGTAAGCAGGCATGTAAATAAAAACATCGCAACACATTTCTAGTCAATTTTCTCTTCATTAGTTCTTCTCTGCTGATTGTTGTTGGACTCGGGGAAATTAAATAAATACGAGAAATCCAGGGAATGTAGGATGGAGGCATATCCCAAACAGGGAATAAAAGAAATGTTGTTGACCGTGTCAACATTACTTGGAGGAAAGAAGGAAGGAAAGAAGGGAAAAAGGAAAGAGGGAAAGAGGAAAGGAAGAAAAACAGGCAGGTATATTGTCTTTAGCTAAGGACTTCTTTTCCATAGATATCAAAGATCTCCATCTACTTACCTCCTTCTAGCTCCTGAAACCCTCCTGTTGCAGGCTGATTGAAAGGGGACGAATCACAAGCAGTCATCCGAATGGCACAGTGGGGCACTTTGCTTGCAAATAACAATAATGAAATAAATAAATCAAAAAGGAATCAGCATTCCCACCCTCACCCCCTCCCCCTTAGTATATTTTGATGACTCACAATTACATGAATTCCCTCTGTCCCAATGGCTAAGGGTGGCTGAGTGCTGCTTTTATGATACCTCCCTCTTCCTCGGTGAATAATGCCCCCCTGCTCGACTGTGAAGGAGAAGCAGTAACTTTAGTGTGCTGTAGGAGCTGATGCAGGCAGCACTACGGTCCCTGTTGTGATTTACCGTAATCTCTTGCTGGTTACCGTATTTCAGCACAAGAAAGGGCACTTCTGACAGTTGTCAACATTTTTTTCTGTTGACTCCTCTTTCTTTTCTTTCCCTCCCTCCGTCTCTCTCTCTCTCCCCCCCTCCCTCCCTCTTTCTGTGTGAGTCTGAGTCTCCTTGTCAGCTGTGAGCAAATACTGGTTACTCAATCTACTTTAAAGAAGGGGGGGGTAAAGGAACAGTGTGGCAAAGGAAATACTACAGCAAACTGGTGAGAAGCTAGTTAGCATTTTCACCCCACCTATCGTATTTATGCTGGGTGTTTTCACATTCTGAAATACGGATAAATGCAGTTTGTTAAGGCTGAGGGGAAAGAAAGGAGTAACAAGACTAACAAGGATGTACATTGAGTCTGTGGATAGGTGTGCATTTGTAAAATGTCAACTGATTTTGAGTTTGACAGCGAGATTCATACCAAGAGGGAACTCAATTGTTCTTGTTGAAAGAGCATGTTTTATTTTAGAAGAGAATATATATAGCTCAGGGTTGAACGATGGAGTCCTTGGTGGTCTCTGAGAGTGGTTGTTTGCTTGCAAGTGATTTATGATTGACTAGGTAACCTCATTGGAGCCCTGGTAGTGTTAACTACTCAGGCACTGACATGTTTGCAAGCAAAACAACCAAGCTCACAGAGCACCAAGGACACAACATGCTTAATTTGGGCAAAGAAAGAACCAAGGTTGTTTGGAACCTGCTTCTCCAAGTCTTGTATCCAGAATGATATCTTCTTGGGTTTATGAGAGGGTAGAAGGTAGAGGCATCATTTCCATAATAGCTTGTCAAACAATGGGGTAAACCAGGCTGCAGGAATTGAGTTGGCACTCTGTTCCTTCCATGGTACATGCCAACACATTTGATCAGGGAGCAGCACCTTCTCCAGAGAGAAGCAGAGCATAGAACTGTCATCATTCCAGCTTGCTTTTGGATGTGTAGGACATTATTAATGGGACAGTTTTTAGGGAAAGCTTTACCTGAACCTTCATGAAAATGAAGCACACCTTTGAAAATTTGCATCGTCTCACAAATATGCACCCCTCCGTCTGACTCTCTCTAACGAAATCTTTAGTTATTTTGGCCAGGCATCTCTTTTGCAAAAAGGCAGACTTTTATGGCTTCCTTTAATGTGATTGTTACATTTTTGATTAGCTGTTGTGTGATTATTTAAAAAGAGACATATGCTGCTCTCTTTCAAACACTTTTGAAGCTGTTGGCACAGAAGATTGCAAAACATTTTGAAATCAGCACTAGAAAAAAAAAATGGATAGGGTTACATTGCAAAGTTGGCAATTTTGCTCCGGACGCAGTTGCCCATAAATAGCTCTGTGTATGTGCAGAACATAAAAAAATGAAAAAAAAACAACCATGCTGCCTTGACCAGTCCGGAGGCATGGCATACTTGGGTCACTGCTGGTTCTGGCAACCCAGGCCGGCAAGCCACTACCAGTTCAACTGAACCGGTCCGATCTGGTAGAAACTGATACACACATATGTGATACACACACACACACACACACACACACANTTAGTTGCATTACTGAAATAAATGAACTTTTGCACGATATTCTAATTTTTTGAGTTTCACCTGTAGGTGTGGTCTTACTAAGGCTTTCTAGAGTGGTATTAGTACCTCCTTTGATCTTCATTGTATCCCTCTGTTAATGAAGCATAGGATTGCATTGGCTTTTTTGGCTGCCACCACACTCTGTTGGCTCATATTTAATTAGTTGTCATACTATATTAAGAATCTTCTTATTTTTGTGACCAGTTTGTTTGATGAGTCATTCAGCAGGAATACAGGGGAAATGTCACAGATACAGCCCCAAGTCAGGTGTGTCCAATCCACGATCCATGTTTCTAATAAGAGGATGAGATCTGATCATTCATTTGGTTGATCATACTTAAATTATTTTCTCTACAGATGAAATGTTAGAATTTTTGGCTGATTCATTAACTCATTTGGGCAATTCATCTTAGCTTTTTTTCCTGGTGTGTTGCAATAGTGTTTCTATTATAGCATTGTAGTAAGAGTCCTCAAAGATGATTCAGATGATCAATAACCGTGATGATTTGGTTATTTCTCAGGAATCCATAATAATTAATGCAGTTTAAATAAACTCTTACATACTCTTCTTCCTCTTCCTCCTCCTTCCCTCCTCCTCCCTCCACTTTAGAAAAAACCCTCATCCAGTTCTAAACTGAATTTTTAAAAAAAATCAAAGATCCCATTTGCAAGTTCATAACTGAATTGGTATAATATCCTCTCTTCTATCCATCATTCTAATCCAATAGTAGCTCTGTGGAAAATATGGATGGTTAAGGGATATTATGGCATTTCAGCCAAGCAGAGGCCTGGTGTATGTGCTTAAATGGGACATTTCATTCAATAGAAAGTGGCTGGATGAATCATTGGCTTTTTTTCACAAAAAGTGCTTTGCAAAATACCCTTTTGATTTAATGACAATAGGGGACAGAAACAGCAAAGCTATTTTTCTTATTTCTTCACCGTCAAAATTTAAATCAGCCAGCAGATCAATGAGGGTGCATTCTGGCATAGCTGATAGTAAATTACTCTCTGGAATTTTGGTTCACTCTTTTTTTTCCAACAAGGGCATGGCCCTGTATATCAAACTTGTCAATACAATTACCTCTTATTTATTCCTTCACCTGGAAATGGACTATTGTTCAATAAGACAGATTTTAAAGTCCAGACATTTAACTGAAAAATATCCAGCAGAAAAAGAAAATTAAGGAACAAAAAGGGAAAAAAAACATGATGAAGAGAAATTTAATCATCTTAGATTATAAACTTAAATTGGTTTGATTGTTGCTCAAGGATCCATATGAATTAGTGCAGAATACATACATACATACATACATACATACATACATACATACATACATACATACATACATACATACATACTTCTTACCTCCTCCTCCCCTTCTTCTCATTTGTTGGAGCCATTTTTTAAAATAGAAATTTGGATTGAAAGCAATGGAATACCTGCTTACTAAGTTTTTAAAAAGTATGTTTGTTAAATCAGAAATCTATATCATCATACAGATGGTTATGAAATATAAGAACAAAAGAGATCTGGATTTAATTAATAGCCTGCCAAGTCCACCGTTCTATTTCCCACAATCAGATGATCAATCAAGAAGGTTACAGACATGGACATGCTCCTTTTCACTATAGTTCCCTAGCAGATGGTATTTATGATGCAAAAATTTTAATTTGTGTTCCTCAAAGTCAGTTTTTGACTTCTGATGACTGCCTAGAGACAAATCCCTCCAGTTTTCTTGCCAAGGTTATTTTTTTTCAGAAGTGGTTTCTCCTTGCCTTCTTCCCAATTTATGATATACTGCCCGTTATTCCCACCATAACAATAAATAACCACTGATTGGCTGCTTCTTTACTATTTTCAAAATTCTTTTTTCCAGGTGGATATAATGGTGACCATAACCATCTCTGATGATTGTGAATTCTATCACCCAACTGAGAGTTGGAGAAAGAATTACTTCAGCTTTAATCGTGACCCCAAATTGTGAACTCCCACACCCCTTCTTCTATATTTTCTACTGTATGCCAGATGCACCCTCAAGGCTGTCCCATGGACTTGAATCAGAGCCTCAGCTCAATCCCAAACACATTTATTAAGATGGTTTAATTGGAGAATAATGGGATTCTTATCCCCATTCCCATCACACTTTTTAAGCGTTGGGAATTTCATACTTAAAAGGCAAAGTCCTTTTAATGTGACTCATTATAGCTACATGTTTGTGTAGTCTGGGCAAAAGCGATGGCCGATACTTCCGTTTTATTATTAATGTATAGTATAGCCTTTATTGTCACTGTACATGATGTATACAACAAAATTTCTCTGGTCTAGCTTAAAATACTGGGATTTCCTGGTTTGCAGACATACTGTAGGTGTTTATAAAGTGTTGTCATTGGCAAGTCTTAGAATAATACTTTACTATAGGAGAAATTATGTGGCAATGTGATTTGTTTTTTAAAAAATGCAGACGGCATGTAGTTCTAGATTTCATACTTGGAAGAGGAGAGTTTAGCTTGAATACTGAATATAAAATGGACATATTAGGAAATGTTGCAAATTATTTTCCACATATTTGGGTAGATACATAGAAAAAAGGATGCACATATTTTCTTGTTAATTTCACGGACAGATGGAATACATTTAGGACTAAATGCAACCAAAATTGACATAGACAGGATTTTTTAATAACATGGGCTGTGTTGTGTTGTTAGAGCAATGATATTCTCTTTTGATTGCATAGTACCAATGAAAAACTTTGGCATAAATGCACCAAAAATGAAACTGATGCCGTGCTAGAATATGTCTTGAATTTCTCAATTTTTTTTATCCCCTATGATGGAAGGTTTTGTTTTTCTTTTTAGTTTTAGGCAGCTTGAGATTGTCTGTTGAATTTCTCTTGGTGGTGTTTTTGAGATTACTTTATTGGTAAAAAGTGGTGGAGGATTTTAATGGTGGACTTCTCTGTTGCACATCTTCCCATCATTTTGTCACTTTTTACAATCTAAAAATCATCTAAGAAAAGTTCTGTCATGATACCAATGTTAGGATTTTCTTGCAGTGGGAGGACCCAATTTGGGGAAAAAACCTTATGTTTTTAAAAAAGTGGAAACCTTATATGGACCTTTTGCTGAAAGAACAAAAAACCGAAATGTATAGGTTGTAGATAAGAATGGTTAAAAGGGAAGAGAGGGGAAGGGTAAGAATATACTTACTTAATAGAAAGAAGGGTGGAAATGATAATTCCTTTCCTCTCTCCCCGCTCCCCCTTTCCCCTCCCCTCTGTCCTCCTCTCTCTTTATTCTATTGAAAATTTAT